TTTTTTGTTTGAGTGTTTTTTTTCTTTAAATTACAAGTTTGAAAAGAGGATGTGACATAATGTCACTCTTTGAAAGGATAAAATCAAGGTCTCTTACCTGCTATGAAAGAATAAGAGAAATCCATAAATAGCGTATTATGACATGGTCGAGTGTGACACCTAGAGGCCATATGTTTAGGATCCCTAAAGAATCACTTTTTTCAGCTGCAAGTTTTGCACAGCACATTTAATTTTGGACTTCAGGAATGGAGCTGTCAGATTTTGAGAGACGAAGTATATTGCAACATATTAATATTTTTTTACCAGATTGTTCATGTTTAGGATACTTTTTGTGGCTTCCCTGACTAGGCTCCTTAGCATTGACACGAAGAAAAATAATAGACCATTACTGAGTGTGGTGAGGAGTGTTCAGTGCTCTGCAGCAAACCCTAAAAGAGCCCTGTACAGCTTATTCCAGCCTAAAGTTCCCAAAATTTAATAAAAATCTTGCAGGTCCCATCTCAAGAGAATCCTTATAATATACTTGCATCTGTAGTAGTATCTGCAGGCAAGTCAGGCTCTCAGAAAATGCAGAGCTACAAGTTTTGGCCCATGAGTTTATGTCAGGGAATAAAGAGAACAAAAGCTTTTTTTGGCTGTTATGTGGATTATTTAGATCATCGATCTTGCAAAACAAACGTGCATGTAAGGGAACATACCACACCTTCCTAACTTCTCCTCTAAAAGTTAAGGGTACAACCATACCACTGCATCCCATACAGGGGATATATCCAAGGGCATCCTAATATGGTGACAGAACTAGATCAGTATGTTTTAAATTTAGAGCACTTTTCAGAAATGTGTGGTACTGTATTATCCAATGGGTATTGGCTGTAATAAACTCATTATAACTCCAGAGCTCTTTTCAGGAAGATAGCTGACTTACTCGTCTTTGGCAGCACTTATCATTTTCATACCTAAGTGAAGGGAAAAACTCTTGGAGATAAATCAAAATGAGCAGAGTTCAGATGAGGAGGACTTTGAATTTTCTACACAAGAAAGAAAACATTTTTCATTCTTTAGAATTTGGGTGATTTTTGTGGTATTCTAGTACTCACACAGCACAGATGGTTTAGTGGGGTACAGTTGTAGAGTTTGTAAAATATCTTCTATAGATCTAGATGAGTGGACTGAAACTTCTGTAAAGATTTCTGGCTTAACCTGACTGTGAAATTGAAGGTGGATGAAAGTCATGCTGGACACACCTCTTCATTGAGTATTGTTGACTCTAGAAACAAATGTGCCATATTTGTGTTGTACTCTGTACACTCTTTGACTTTATTATATGTAGCAATACAGCATATTCAGGATAGAAGATAACATGATCCTGAAGCTTTTATTCACGGCATTTCATAAACAGAGAAGGGTGCTAGCATGGGACTGCTTGCTAGCAGAGGAATACCAGCAGGGTGATTCCGTTTGGCATGCAGCTTTTCATACCCAGCAGCTAAGAAATTTATATCTTGTTCTTATTTCTCCTTCCACTAAATAAAAGGTATTGCATGCTTGTTTTGTCATCCTCTAACTGTTTAATGCTAGGAAACATGAACAAAGTAATTCCAATATTTCATGGCTAACTCCACCTCATTTTCATAAAGGTCTTTGAGGTTAGTCTTATCTTTTTCCTAGAAAACTGCTCACTTGTGTGAGCAGTTTACAGACTCCACATTGCTGCTGTGCTTCAAATAAATAATTGTATCTGAATAAAAGTCTACTGAGACTCATATGTTTGTGCTCCGAGGTACAACACTGACACTATTATGTTAGTGATACAGATACTAATGTCGATTGTAGTTTGTTTCTATTCTTTGTCTAGAGGTTTCTTCTCAGAAGTACTTAACCATTTCTTTGGGAATGTCTAAGCCGTAAACAACTGATAAATTATGATCATTAGGTATGTATTAGAAGATGGGTTACCAGTGTGGGCTGGAAATAGTGGTTGCACTGTTAACTGGGAGGGAGGGCCTGCATTCGCTGTAGCAAATAGAAAGAGGATAAGAGCGTATTGGATACACTGGGGTGGAAAAGGCTAACAGCAGCTCTGCCGGTAAGGCATGCTGATAGCAGCTGAAGCTTGCAATCAGGATATATTGCCTCTTGTGTCCGAAATCTACCTCCTGCAGTTAGGTTGGTGTGGGTGTCTCTGTCTGCAGGCATCAGCCTACTCTGGCTTCTGGTTTCACTGGCCTTTCCCTGCCCTGATTAGTAGAAGATGAGTGTATGTACTGCAGAAGTGATCTAGTGTTTGCCAAAAACAGCTCTTCAGGAATCCTTATTTTTTTTCCCAGACACACAAATAAACTTGCATAATAAATATTTCCTCCATTCTGTCTCTGTGACGTATTTCTGAACAGTTTTAAATGCTTCATAGCCTCTTACAAAAAAAAAGGGGTGACATTATTCTTCCATAGTTCATTGATTTTTGACAGAAAAAATGGTACAACCATAAAAAGTAGTGCAAAATTATTGTATTTTAATAATCTCTATTTTAGTGAAGTTTTAAAAGTATGTGGTCCTATAGTTGCATAAATATAAGAAAACATTTAAGTGTTTGTGTATGTGTGCTCACCCTCTCTCATGATATTGCTTTGTTCTGCTGTCAAAAACCATTCTGATTCATTGTGTCAACTACGTGGATGATCTGTTCCCTGATGATGTTTCCGGATGATCTGAGTCACGTACAAAATATTTTCAAAGGCTTTCTTTATACATTTATAAAAGTTCTAGGTAGAATCCATTGCATTTAACAACTCTGAAAAGGGTGCCTTTTCCCCTAGTCACTCTGTAAACTTGACTTTTCCCCTGGTGCATAGCTCCAGCTAAAAAGCCAACATTTTTACTCTTAGTTTTTCAAAGGAATGTATAAGTGATTTATCTTTTATTTTAACTATGCAAGTCAATAAAGTTATTGCCACAGACTTCCTGATGATCTTAAAACTTTTTTAAGCCCTTAAATTCTTAGTCTTATTTTTCATAAATTATGAAGCTGGCATTATTTTTATTAGGTCAAATATTCTCAAGTCCCTCTACGTAGCATGTAAAATAATGTGCATGTGACTAACAAACCTAAATTTACCTGTGAAATTGCTATAATTCTGTAAACTCAGAGGGCATTTTGATTTAAAACAGTATTCTGTCCAGTTCAACAAAGCAAAGGCTGAAGGGGTTTCCATGCTTCCTAAAGTGAATACAGCATGATGTAGCAGAAGTGAATAAAATGTATTTCCAGAAGTGCTTTAGCTGAGGGTACAAGTTCTGCATCTGGATGCTATAAATTTGTTAAGATCATGGCTTTCTATGTATCCCTTATCAACCTATAATCTCCTGATTGTTGCCTGTTTTTCAACAGCTGAGGAACAGTAATCCACACTTGCTTATCTCTCTTAATCACAGCCTCACCCTGCTAGAGCTCCCTGAGCCTTTAATTCCCTCTTAGAGGCGTAACAGAGTGGAAAGTAAACAAAGACAAATTTGCAACCTTCAACATTGCTAATTTGCTCTGATGTCAGAATATTTAAGCAGGCAAGGACTTGGGAATTATTTGATCACAGCTGATTTTAATCTAATGCATGTGAAAAGGCTGAGTCTGGGAAGGTTGTGCAAAATGACAGGCGTCCCAAGAGAGGTTGACTGAAGGTTTCTTCTTTAAACAACAATAGCTCCATCATTTTCAAACTCTGGGTCCTGTGTTCTTACTGTGTATTTTTGTAGCAGTTTGCATTTTTAATGAAACTTTTTGAATATGATAGCAGTTTTCTTGAAAATTCCTCATTTGCTTCACAGTTTATAGGTGTCCGAAACCCGATCTTTAGGCTTGTTATTGCATCTGTTCACTGGGTAGTGGGTGGGAGAGATAAAGATCCCTATTTAAAAAGCTTTGTCTCTCTCCACGTTTTTGTATCATCATGACAGCCTAATGTATCCTGAATACTTTCATATGTAAAACTCAGTGTATGTTTTAAAAATGATTGATAACTTGATCTTCAAATTATTTTAAATTACACAGTTGACATTTATGCATGTATATATGTGTACATACTTGCTGGATGGGAAAGGATGTTATCTTGCATTATATATTACATGCACACTTCATCTACCACAGAGGTGATGTGCTTACACATACATAGACATTATCATATACATATATTCATCTGTCCTCACAGTAGATAGCTATATATTATCACCTGAAACAGAGTTGATAAATATGCAAGGCAAGTTAGTGTTTTTTCTCTTTTTTTCTTCCATTTCCCTTCATAAGGTCTTAATTGTCTATTTAATGCATGTGTAATCACTTGTTTTTTGTTGTTTACAAAATGGATAATGCAGCATACATATTGTTATCAGGACAAATGTCTGATGCTCTCTTAATTAGTATATAGCGCTCTGGTTATATCTGTTCTGGTTGTATGACTTGGGTTTCTGAAGCGTGTCTGATGATGATTTCTTCTTTTCTTCTTAGTACGTATCATTTGGGATATTCCAGGGAGAGACACGTCTGGGAAGCCAGCCTTTTGCAGTCACTCGCTGCGTCGAGATTACAGCACTGGGCTATTTGTGTTTCTCCTCATCCCTGTTTCTCTCTGTCTCTCACTCTCTCCAGCTGGTGTAAATGACTGCTGCTGCCTCCCAGAGCAAGATAACCTGCTCAGTCAGCTGGAGCCCCCTGCGGACAGCTGTCTCGCTTTTAGCTGATGGAAAACTGCTACTAACCGCTGAATGGAAGAGTGTGGAGCAGCAACCATACTAGCAGCAGCCGCTGCAGCAGCAGCAAGAGCGAGCAAGGACTCTATTGTTCCCTCGTGTTAAACAGTTTTTCCTTTTCAACTGCCATGCACAATAGCAGGAGAGAGGTTTCCGGTCCCCTTCTCCCTGTGAAGAAATTCTGAAGAGGGAAATATTATTTGAAGAAGGTTTCGTGGTTGTGCTGCGGATTTTGGAGGCAGCAGCAGGCTGCTGGAGGCATGGGGTTGAGCGAGGGGAGCGCTGCTTTCTGCCGTGGTCCAGGGGTTTCCACCGTGCCAGCCCAGTGCGTGGGAGTTCTTGTGCTTCTGCTGCTGGGAATCTGGGACACTCGTGCACAAAGTGAATTTCAAACTTCATCGGTGTATTTGTGGAAGACCGGTAAGTAAGGATGCTGTGTTAACACAACAGCAGTGTATTTATTTTTTGTTGTAAGTAATAACCTTTTTGTGTGCTTTGCGTATGCGGAGAGAGAAAGTTAAATCTAAATTACTAATGTTTACTTCCAGGATTATAGGAAAAAAAAAAAATTAAGTCATCTTCCAGGATTCCACCAGCCAAGCAAATAGGGCAATCAAAAAAACCCCACACGTTTGTGACTCTGTGGCACTGTTCCTGGGATCTCTTATGTATTTTCTGTGTCTTCTGAGGTTTTTAACTTTGCTTAGTAGCTCTGTGTTGGATGTAAATAGCAAAGGTCGGGGTATTAGTGCCTGTCCACAATAGGAAAGAACATTTGTTACAGTTGGAGTCAGCAACGTTAACAGTGCTCTAAAAATATTGACTTTTCACAAAGAAAGATGTAATTCAGCATGTCTAATCTTTGTGCTCTGTGCTGACATGTAATATATTCAGCGTGGTAATTGATGGGGAGTTGGGTTTGTTAAATTTAGGTTTGTTGCACAGTATATAGGACATGTGAAAGCTAATGATGGATTAGGTGAAATAATCCAAGTGATGCCAGATCTCATAACCAAAGAGCCGAAGGCAAATAGGCTATGTGGATTCAGCACCACATGAGATAGATAATTTCCTCTGCTTTGATACTAATGAGTTACGTGTCTGTTTTAAAGATTACGTAGTCGTAACAGTGTCCAACCTTAACTTTGCATTAAGAATCAGTGGGGAATTTTCCTGTGTCTATTAATATATTACATTCATTCAGAACTTTAGTAGTGATGAATATGTGCACTTTAGTTGTCTAATACAGTTTTAGTTCCTATGGAAGTAGAGTCAAAGTCTTCTTTAGGAAATTCAAGTCAGTAAATATTACACATTGGCTTCGGCAGTTGGCTTTCTTCCCTGTACGTTGCCAGGAATAAAACAATTCAAAAAGTAGTAGTTTTGTTTAAAAACTGCTTTTCCATTAAAGGATAATATGGTAGTAAGAGAGAGTACAAATTAATCATTTGTCTGAAAAACAACTTTGAGAAGACAGTCTCTTTCCTGGATGGAGGGCCCTAGCCTTCTGCCACAGAAGCAGATCAATTTACAATTACAGTGATATCCTGAATTTTTTAAGAGGCTCCATCTATCTAGCAGCTCAGGGAGGAGATTAAAAGGAAATTCATTTAAACAAGAAGACAAGCTTTCCAATAACACTAGAAAGAGAAATCTGAGGAAGAGAAAATCCTTTGCAACTTTCACTTCCGACTGAAAGATGGGTTGCACAATGACAGTGACCCATTTTTTTTTCTTTTGAATCACTGACTAATTCAAAACATAGTTTTGAGTTCCATTACAGATTTGTAAATGTTCAGCACACACTTAAAAAGAGATAAAATACATGCACAGGTTTATCCAAAAGCACTGTGGTAATATAGCATTTTCATGAAGCGTTTTACGCTTACCCTGAGTTGCTAGGCATCAGTAGAATAAACTCTCCAGCATTTTGTCTCCATTTAACAGTTTAGTAGATTGTATTTAAAAAGGTTAAAATAGTAACATAGGATGAGAATAATAACAACTGCAGTTAACTAATACTTATGAACATGCACTGTCAACTTGCTATGGACTTAATTCTGCTTACTTTGCGTACAGTACATGTGCTCTGAAGTCATGTCAGTTAAACCAGCAAGAAGGAAACTGGGCTGGCTTTTGTTTTCTCCCCCTTTTCTCCCTTCCTGGCAAAGATCACTCTTAAGAAACTTTTGTCTAGGACAGGTGCGATCTAATTACATTGCCTTATGAAGAGCTGGTTCTTCCATTCAGCTTTTCTTCTGTGACCTCTCTCCTCTGTTTTGCCTGCAATAAGGAGTAGGATAGGCATGTTCGCTGGACAATTTTTAATGTAATAACGTCAGCGATTTGATGATAACATGATGAAAAACAAGTCAGAGTGGCTCTTTTCAAACAATGAATAGCAAGATGCAGTGAATAAGGTAGTGCATCTGTGTTTGGCTTCTAATTAAATCTTCACACTCTTTTTCTTAGCTGTTTATTGAGTTTTGCTGTTTTCCCCCTCCTCTTTGTGGGAGGTTCTAGAAAGTGAACTAGGAGAATCGCTGGTCAGTCATCTGAAGGGATATCTAGTATGGGATGTATAAAGTTCAGTTAAAGTATCAGAGGGAATAATAAAACTGAACAGCAGTGAGCTCATCCAACTCAGATAGTATTTTGCTTTTCCTTCTGTGAAGGAAATGGGTCAGGGGAATGTGTGGCTAAGACTGTCTAGGAAATCAGCTTGATTATATGCCTTTTGGGAACTGTTATGTCCATTCTCTGAGAAACATGCTATTTTTGTATTGAATTTAGTCTGGTATCAGCTTTTGTAAGTACTGTTCATGACTTGCATGTGTCTGGCTTTTATTTCTAAAGATTTCTGAAATAGTATCTTGGTGAATGTTACCCCATGTCCTCTATACTGGTTTACTGCATTGTCTTTTCTTAAGGATGCCTTTGACAATAATCTGCAGGGATTATGAGGTTTGGGTTGAGGCATTCTTTCTCCTATAAAATAACAATTGTGATATCTGGTACAGTTTCCTTTTTCTTTTTTTTTTTTGAGGGGTTGGTATTTTGTTTTATGGGGTTTGGGTTTTTTTTGTTGTTGGGGGGGGAGGGAGCGTTCTTCTAATTCAAATTTCAACTGTGTACTTCCAACCTACAAACCCCCCCATCCTCCTGTCTACTACCATCAAAATCTGAAGTGTTTGTAATACTCAGGTTAACCATTTTGGGGTTTAATTATCTTTGATTCGGCATGGACAGTGTTGTGAACAATGTGCTTTGGGCAGGGAGATTGAACTAAATGATCTCCAGAGGTCCCTTTAATCTCCACCATTCTGTGATATGGTTGCCATCATTAAGTCATTTCTACTTCTCCAACTGAAACTGCTTTGGAGTTTTGGCTTTCGTAACTTTTTTGATCTCTTTTAAGAATGGGTATTTGCTGTTGCATGTTTATGCTGCAATTATGGGGTGTTTAATGGACCTTCAGTGTTTTGAATGGCATTTAGATGAACACAGTTGATCATAGTTACTAGTCTTTAAACTAGGTTTCCTGCCAAACATTCTCATTCCATACCATGCAGACCTGGTGTATGCATTTTTTTCAGACACAAATACACAGCCATTTAATTTTGTGTGGTCACTGGGAAAGCCATCTGGTTTCTTTAACATAAACTAAAGCGAAGTCTCCATCTGTGCACAATACCTGGCTCTTCACAGCAGAGTGATGAAACAGCTAGACTCCTGGAGTTGAGTCATGGTGTCTGTCTGCTTGATGATTTGAGGTAGAGAACAGCAGCTTTCAGCAACTCGTAGAACAGAAGTTGTGGTATTAAGGGGTGGTGATTCCATTGATGTGAGGTGGACACATACTGCTGAGCACTGGACTTCTGAAGTTGAAAGAATTTTTGAATGACCTGTCTTGTTCATCAGTAATTGCCCTTCTCTGAGTCTACTGATTTCATTTGCAATGAATAGTTGTTTGGTTCAGGTTCTACACTGCTGCATTGAACTTCTGTGAGTTCCTGCAATGTTTTAAATTTCATTCATATTCTACATTAACTATTACGAAGCCTTATTGAATTGTTTCTATATATGCACAAAAAAAAATGTGCCACAATTCAGTAAAAACTGCTTGTGTTAACTTTTGTTAAATGTTATTGTCCAGTTTCTTTTATTTTTAAAGTGAAGTTTTCATATTCAAGAACAGCTTATAATCTTGTTTATACTGCCCACCATAGGCTAATATTTTGATGTATCTGTAAGTTTTGCAGTGAACAATATGAGGACTGATGATTCCTAAATAAAGACTGCCATACAGTTATCACTCTTCCAAAACAAGAAGATGCGTATTTTTCTTGGTCTGCCATTTCATGATGCAGGCCATCTATATACCATTTCTATACACAACTGACTAAGCATAGGCATTTCTTGCCACATCAGAACTCTCCTTTACTTTCTAGCCTGTGCTTCATTTGTTTTTGTTAAATCAACTGACACGGTGATATGTGATGTGCTGTCAGTGTTGGGTGTAATGCCTGCCTACAGTTACTAATATAATTACTGAAGAGCTGTGCAAAATCGGCAAGGTTCGATCACACTGTAAAATTGCTTCTTCTGAATGTTTGAAGTAATGCACGTTACACTCTTGAAGTGGAAGACGCAGCATTGGATTGATATCTCTGGAACAAAAAAAGTGATAAGAAAAATCCTGGGAGGCAGTGCCTTTACCATCATTATCTGTTTTAAAGACTATTGATCAGATCTCAGATAGTTTACAAATCAGTATAGCTCTGCTGAATTATTTGAGCTATCTGCAATTGTGTGATACCAAGACTTGGTCTTTTGTATAACAATTGCAGTTGGATATTTTCCCCTTCTTTTTAACAAAGGTAGAACTTGAAATAGACTTTCTGTAGGTAACAATGCCTTTTTAAAATTAAAGGGAAAAAGTCTTTGTTTCCTGAAGAGAACACTTAAGTATCTCTATTTTTATGCTTATGTTGTGTGAGAATTGGTCCTTAGATAATAACTTGCTCAACGTTTGAGGCAGTGGAGAATCAGAGAAAAGGAGATAATATGGGTGTAGGAAACATACAGAAGATCACATGTATTCTTGGGATACTGGAGGCCCTGAGTTAAATCAGTGTGCCAAGTGGTTTCCAGTGGGACCAGAGGGGTGTTGCAAGCTCTGCAGCCCAAGAGCTCTCCTTAACCTCTCTCTGAGCTTTTTCAGGCAGCAGCATCTCTATGTGACTTTTTTTTTTCCTTGTTCCATTGTCTTGGGAAGAGGACTGCGTAAGGGCCTCCTTCTTCACCTGAAGAGCCTATGAACAAATGTTTTTGCTGTTTCAAGGTGTTGCTGTGGGATCTTGTAACCAAATCATGCTTCTTCACTGCTTGATGTGAACTTGGATCTCAACCCCTGCCCC